GAGTATAGCATAATATCATCAAGCCATTTTATCATTACATTTTCCCCCTTTTTAAACCAGTATTATTTGGTTTTACCCTAATAAATAGTCCTGGGCTATTTGTTCTCAGGTTCTTGATTAACCAAGCAGTGTCTTTCATTTTGTGGAGCTGGTTACTGTCACAAGCTTTGTGCTACCATAGTCTTAGCATATTTTGCAGGCAGTAAACTATTGTAGACAAAGGGTTTGTGACCGGTTTGGTGTGTATGTTTCTCTTTTGAGAGCATGCAGAGTACCTTCCTGTAGTAAAGACACTGAAACATAGGGATAAAGCCTATTTGTAGGCATCGACTTGACATCTCCAAGTTCAGTGAGTAGTATCGTGGGGTGTTAAGCAATGGAGCCTTGGACTCAGTTTGTGGGGAGAATCCTAAAGTCTTGGCAATACCCTGGCTTGTTTGGGGATTCCATGGAGCACTTTGAGCAACAACCCTTATTTTTCAATTCCTGCCTACCATGAAATATTTAATGTACAACTTGGTCACTGTTCCTAGAGTCTACATTCAACAGAGAGAACAGAAATTCTGGTTTCCTCAAAAGTTGTCATTTCGTTTACAAAAGAAGAATTTTCAGCTTCTAGCATGAGTCAGCTGAGCCTATAGGTATGAAAAACATGTATGGAAACAGGGCACAGAGAAAGAGCCATGGCCTCAAGCTCATCTCCTATGTCAACCCAATGGTCCTTTCTCTTCAAGAACAAAATAATAATGTCATCATTTCTAATCTTATCCCTGTATATTTATCTACATCATTTTCCATCTGTGCTGAGTAGGGCCTCCTAGGAACTAGAATGAAATGTGCATGGAAAATTCACTCTTGGGAACACATAAGTTTTAGAAATGTCATTGAAGTTTTATGATGAGTAAATATTGCTTTTGGAATAAGGCCAAGAAAATGTTCATTTCAAGTCCCATATAACAGTCAATGTGAAGGAATGGAAGAATCATTTACAACAAAGGCTTTCACTACCAATGGGGAAAGGTAGAACAAAGGACTCTCAACTTTCTCTAGTCCATGTGTGGGACTTGCACACGAATCCCAAGGGTTGAGAAGCATTCGTTCTGAAAATATGGAAGGAGGGATTTAAGAGAGGAAAGTCAGTGACTTGTTCTCTGAGTCACAGCTTGGCACTTTGGGAAAAAATGAAAAACAGTCCAGAGACACAGTAAGCTCCATACATATAAACTTAGTTGTTCATTATCTCACCTCACATCCTTCCTCGCAGAATAATTAAACCCTAATTAAGCTTGAAATAACTTCTGAGCAAAGCAGATGTAGTAATTGTGGAGATGGGGAAGCTGTACTTCAGGGACTGGGGCTCTGCAGAGGCCTTTCTTCCCCGTCACTGTGACCACATGACACTTGAAGTCTGCAATACCTGACAGCAGCAAAGAGCCTCACAAATCCTGAAGTACAAATATGACCTGACAAGTGTCACCTTCCCAGAGCCGCTCCAGATCCTGTCTGCACCACAGAGGTCCAGGTGAGTACACAGAGGTAAGACCTTCCATCCCCTCAGCTGTGCCATGGAGAGTTTCATGAAAGCAGAAGACTCTCTCTGACTAATCCAGGGAGTAGGCGAGAGGCTCTGTGATCCTCAGGACCTCCACTTTCCTTCTGGCCCTGGCACCGGAAAGATCAAAGGAGACTAGTTCCCGGAGATACAGAGATGGAACAGAAATGCTGAGGGATCGCTATCCATTCTCAGACTGGAGTACCATGACAGAGCTCTGGCTGGGTCTTTGATTAAGGTTTCTTCCTTGTTTTTTTTTATTATTTGTTTGCTTGTTTTTTTAATTTATTTGTTTGTTTTTCTTAAAGGAATCATTAGTATATAGAAGATTTTCAGATGTCTGTCAAACCCTGGAGACAATCATGACACACTCCTGTAATATCAGCACTAGAGAGACTGAGGCAAGGGAATTATTGTTCTGGGCTAGCCTGGTTTGTATAGAGAGACTCTGTCTCAAAAATAACAAGACAAAAGAAAAATAAATTTTCTTGTTTTAGCCACTGTGTTTGCCATCATTGACTCCTACAGCATCACCAGTGTCTGTAACATTGTTTCTTTTCAGGTTTGATGCATTTCCACTTTTCAAATATTGGCAGGTGTTTTCTTTAATAATAACATCATAACTCCTAATTTACAGACGGTTTTCTGTAACATGAGTGGGGCCTGTTTGCTTGTGTTTCTGTCCTGCCCGGCCCCCCAGATGTTTAGTCCCAAAGAAAAATCACACACAGAGAACTCCGTAAGTTATAATGCTGATTGGCCCATTAGGTCAGGCTACTTATTAGCTAACTCTTACATCTTGATTAACCCATTTATCTGATCTATTTTAGCCATGTGGCTCCGTACCTTTTTCAGTGGGGCAGCTCACATCCTGCTGCTTTGGTGACCTGGGTAGGAGTGGGAAGAATCAACTTCCTCCTCCCGAGAATTCTCCTGTTCTCCTTGCATCGTTTCCACTTCCTGTCTGGTTTTCCCGCCTACACCTCCTGCCTGGCCAATCAGCATTTACTTAAAACATGATTGACAGAATACAGACAATTCTCCCGTACCAGTTTTCCTTCTATATCCATTCTTTGTCTCTGTAGTCTATCACATAATATTATGCATACTTATATCAGGTACAGTCTTCGAATGCCTGCTGGTGTGGAGAAACATAAACTAGTAAATGTATGAGTTATTACCAATCTTGAGAATTTCTGATATAATGAATCAAGGCTGTGAAACATGCTGAAATACCTCATTTTAGTTTTACCCCAGCACTAATCAGCAAAGACAAATAACCTGTTTTGCTTTTGTTTGCTTGGTTTTAGAAAACCATGACGGATGAATGTAACCTACATCAGGTTATTGGAGTTTATTCCCAGACAATGGATCATCAATTTATCTAAACACAAGCCCATTCTGTCTTTCAAATTAATTTCCTTTAGCATTTTCCAATATAATGTGGAAATAAATTGTGTCTCCCTCCTGGGACAGTGCATTCCAGTAGAAGGAATCACTTCTTAGAAGATCAGAATCTGTTCTGAAATGTGATTGAAACTTGGGGAACAGAAAGGGAAGATCAGAAAAGTAGGAATTCTCAGGATATCAAACATTAAACAAACAGAAAAAAAGTTAATATTTTCCATCAGTATTTGAGGTGAATTATTGAAGGAATTTTTAGAGATTCTGACCTCTCTGACTAAACACTTAATGTTTATTCTAAATGTGCTAATGAATGCTGATGTGTTTGGTATTAATATCTGGAGCATATTTCATTATGTGTAGATATTTGGGGTAGTGTTGTGATTCCTAGGACGTACCGATAATACAGGCAACAATTACACCTCTGTCAGAGGAGCAGTTGAAGAAAAATAACTGACATTTCTAGAGTCATTTAGCAATATAAACTAAAACTGGGAACATGGCTCAGTTTATGCAGGACACAGGTGAGATCATCAAGACATAGACATCTAAAACTATCCTGTGAGTTTCACAGGAAGAAGAGCAGTGTGAACAGAGGCATTCCTAGTACTCAGAACACACAAACTCATGAATTATGCAGATTCCTCTTATTCTAGAAAAAGCATCCAAAGCTTACCACAAATCCCTGAGAAATGAGAATGGAGTTCCTGGACATGAAGAATAGAATCCTGCTGAGGTTGAAAGTTCTGGAATAAGCTCAGACTGACGTAGAACAAAGAAGCCTGCCTGATCAACAGTTTGGAAAAGAAACAGAAGGAAAAGCAGGCTGTAAAGCAAGCTGACATAACTGCAGCTCACAAGGCCCCATGGAGACAAATGCCACCATAACTTCTTCAACAGGAGAACTCCTACTCATCCCAGTATGCCTAAACCTACTGTACTGTATGTAGCCAATGCTGAGGAGTCAGAAGTTGTTAACTGCACTCAGCTTACCACAGCACCTAACACCTCATTAAACCCTTCTTCCATCCTCCTCATTTTCTCCCCTAGTGAAGAGCTGATCCCTGCTTCCTGAGATGCCCTGAGGCCACTCACTGGAGTCACAAATGCCCTGAACTCATCCACTGGAGTCACGGCTCTCTGCTACCCCCTCTCCTAGGAAGAACTACAGGGTTCTGCTAGACACACTCCTTAGCTGCAACCTGGTGGGTCCACGAATTTTTTGGCTATCTTGTTATGACTCAGCTTTTAATGTCAGGTCCTAAATTGAAAGGTCACACAATTTGATTTGACATTGAGGATTACCTTAAAAAATAACCAGTAACATGTATATGGAGTGAAGTCACAGAATGATCAACATAGAAACTTTTAAAAATTAGGCTATAGGAATAGAAGCTTTAAAACTTCGAAGGCAAAGACAAATCTAGAAATTGTTATATTAGTCAAGACGCAGAAAAGAAAGGAATATCAGACAAAGGAGCAGGCAGTGTGGAGGGTAAAGTTAGCAGAGCTGAGAGATGTTACAGGTGTTGACTCAGCAGGGTTTCCCAGTGTCTGTGTGATGTGGGGAAGCAGACAGGCTCAGCATGAATCTCAGATTTCGGGAAATATGAAATAGAATGAGAAACAGAGGAAGAAATTTTGGTTGGAGAATCTTGGAGTTCAATTCACCTATGCTGAAAGTTAACTAAGATAATCCACGCATGCAAAGAGAAACACACACACACACACACAGCTTCAACAAGTCGATTTTGCTAGTGTAGAGCTCAAAAATAAAATATCTTTAAAACTTTAAATTTTGAAAAGCAGTTACCAAACTCACTCGTTAGAGCACACACAATATGCCAGGGTCCGCGGTGGGGAAAAAAGGAGGCATGTCAAGAACCTAATCTGCAACATTACATGTGTCCACCGCTGCCTCTTGTACACTAGAAAATACTATTATGTAAAATGTGCTTTTCAGGTCCATGTCTAACATTACTGACGCTTTCTTGAACAAGCATTTGCATTCCTTGAACAAGTTTTTCTACCTAGGAAAGAAGAAATGGTTTTGAAATTTATTAAGGAAGCAACTTTCCTCTTCATGATTGTGCTTGGCACTCTGGGGAACATTTCTATTTCTGTGAATTATATGTTCAGTTGGTGGGGAAGCTCCAAGAAGAAACCCATACACCTTATTCTCATCCACTTGGCTTTTACAAGCATCATAATCCTTCTTGCGAAAGGATTGCCAAAGACAATGGCAGATTTTGGTTTAATAAGCTATGTAGATGCCATAGGATGTAAGATTATTGTTTACCTGGAGAGGGTGGCCCGTGGTGTCTCCATCTGCACCAGCAGTCTCCTCACTGTGGTCCAGGCCATCATCATCAGTCCAGGAGCATCCCAGTGGAAGAGGCTCAGACCAAAGTCTGCATGGTACATCTTTCCATTCTTTTCATTATTTTGGGTGCTCAGTGCTTTAATAGGTATGAAACTAATCCTTTCCATCACAAGTACAAGCCTGAATATATCACAGTTAAAGAGTGACAGTAACTGTTATTTTATACAAGAAAGTCAGAAAACAAAATGGATTGTTTTCCCTCTCATGGTGCTGAGAGATGCTGTGTTTCAGGGAGCCATGGGAGGGGCCAGTGGCTACATGGTACTTCTTCTCCATAAGCACCACCAGCATGTCCTCTACCTTCAGAACTCCAAGTGTCTCTACAGAACTCCCCCTGAGCTGAGAGCTGCTCAGAGTGTCCTCCTTCTGATGATCTGTTTTGTTTTCTTCTATTGGACAGATTGTGTTGTTTCTCTATTTTTAAGTCTCTCTTTAGTGGACAATTCCTTGATGGTAAATATTCAAGTATTTATGACTCTGGGTTATGCAACATTTAGCCCCCTTGTGCTGGTTCACAGGAATGGGCTTCTGCCTGAGGACTACTGCATGCTCAGGAGGAGAAAATTTCTCTCTCTTTTATCTGTTCAATTAGTGTGAAAAAGATCTCAGTCCTGCAATATTGTCAGTAGACAAAGTTTTACAAAGTAGTTTAATCATGTGTTTATTCTCAATCTTCCTGGTGACTTGGAGCCTTGAGTGGAGAGAGTGAGGGAGACCATAACAAATTATAGTGACATAGAAACCTCATTTTCTGCATTGCCATCTTATTGAAGGTATTTAGGTTTTCTTTTTAACTTTCCTATATTTGTATTCATTTATTGTGTATGAATACTTTGCATGCAATTATATCTGTGCAGCACATGCATGCCTGGAATCTTCAGTTTCTGGGAAAAAAAAACATCAAATGCCATGTGATTGACTGAAGTTAAATAGATGTCTCTAAAACAAATTATGACTGCTAGAAATTGAATCTGGCTGCTCTGGAAGACCAACCAGCACTCTTAACTACTGAGCTATCTCTCCAGCACTGAGAAAGTAGCTTTCATTAGAATTTGTAGAACTCATTTCACACCTACCATGACTGGAAGTATGCAGAAGAATTTGGTGGATTGAATCACAATTCACCATGATTTTAACATGTTTGGTCCAAGAAATTCTTTTTCTTGCACCTGACGCTGTGCTTGCTAAATGGTAGTACCACAAGGCTATTTTGGGATACTTCAAACTGTCTGTAAGCATCCATCCATAGAAAAGATTTCATAGAATTGTGAAAGAATTACATGTACTCTGCATTGACTTCAGAGAAGCCCAATCAGTGCCCCAGTCACAGAAACTAAATGCCCTGAAACATTTCATTGGTGTAAATTCATAAATGTTCTCCAGGAATAAAGACTGCAGACATGGAATAAACTAGAAAACAAATTCACAGTAAACTTTCACATTATAGTGTCTATAGTTTCTATGTTGATTAAAAATGTGAATTTCCTTTTTGTGAGATGAATAAGTAGTGTGAGTGAAGCAGACTGAAGCTTGTTTGCAGCTGCCCTTTGTCAGTGCCCTGGTTGTTTCCCACAACACTATCCAGCTGTTTGTCACCAAAGAGCTGCGAAAGGATCTGATTCTACATCCATTTAAATGAAGGATTTTCTGCTTGATTTCTTAGATTTACACAACAAGAAGTTGACATGGTTCTAAGACTCTGATAGACCCATTCTGAAAAATACTTATTGATATAATCACTGAACATTAAACTGTTGATAGGTTTATGGCTTAATTTTTTAAAACTTATCAGTCATATCTGGCTAGAATGCCTATAAATATTTGAGTGCATTATGAATTTACTTTATAATGATGAATATATATCTTTTTTTTTTTGCTTGGTTACACAGTATTATACAAAACTTTTAAGTGATCGGCATTACTCTGTGCTTTAACTTATAAATAGTTTGTTTTGTAATATAAATATTTATTTGTACCTATGTCTCTATATGAGCTTATGCCTCGTTTTTAACAGGTGCCAACAAATTAAAAGAGAGAACATTGGGTTCCTGGAAGTTAGAGCTACAGGCAGTCATGACACCTATGATGTGGATGTTGAGGAAACAGGTCCACTGCAAGATGAGCAGGTCTCTGAGCATCCCTCCTGCTCTTTGTCTTTCTTATGTAAATGTGACTTGTTTGGAGTTAACATTCATTGCTTACCTTAGTCTCGCAGCTCTTTTGTGAAAGTCTTTCTCTAATAATTGATATAAATCACTTTCTAACTCAGTCTGTGTAATTTGACTCAAAAATAAGTAATATAAGATCATGGAGAAGGAGTAAGTGAAGCTACATTTAATCTGAATAATTAAGAGATTGCTCAACATTAAGAATATACGTGGGGGCTTTAAAACAATCTTTAAAATTTTTTTTAAAAGATAGACAAGAGATATATAATTGTTGACACAGCATGACCATGGATGGCCTGGACTTAAGTGGCACACAAAAGTGCTCTATTCAATTTCTCTCTAAAAGTTAAAGTGTGTTCAGAAAAAAATTGATTAAACATAAATTAAAATTTTAATACATGATGAAGCTTCTAAATGAGTATAGGGTAGTGAAGCCAAACTGAAAATGGGATTCAATAACACCCTTCAGACAAATCACAGATTTGACAGATGGATTAGTATAAATAACCTCATCATTTCCTTATGCTGAATGTATTGCTCATCACTAGCATGGACCTGTGGACATTATACTAAATGGAATACGTCAGCTGCATGTAGACAAATACCACACGATTTTACGAATAAGTGAAACCTAAATACAAAAGAGAATGAAATCTTCAGTGTGTGGTGTGCAGCCTACAGCCCTCAGAAACTACCTGCATATGGTTTTGGGTTTTGATTTTGTTGTTGTTGTTTTAAATTTTTTATTATTTAAAACAATTCTCTGGGAGGCAGAAGCAGGGGGATCTCTACAAGTTCTAGGTCAACCTGGTCTACAGAGTGAGTTCCAGGAAAGTCAAAACTACACACAGGAAACCCTATCTCAAAAAACAAACAAAAAATGCCAAATTTAAATATACTTTGATCATATTCTTCCACCCCTCCAAGTTCCTCCAGAACCTTTCCTCTTCCCTATGATAATCTCACAGACAACGAGGAGAAAGACCATGACCCAAATCACAACCATATTAAAGCAAATTTATTTGTGGACACATCAGAGCCAAGTCAACACTGTCTCCCCTAAGGCAGGGTTCGTAAGACCAGATCTGATTCAATTTTCCATACCTCGTTTATAGGGCAAAACCTCAAGGTGGGGGATGTTTCAAGGCAGCATGGTTAAAGCAGAGAGACCAGGAAGTTAAAATTTCACAAAGCAGTTGAGGAAATCTTAGAATGTGTGTTACAGAACGTTTCATGGTTATGGGGTAGGGCACAGCCAAGCTCTGAAACACAGACACACAAGTTTTACAGTCAACAGGCTTAACTTTGCTACAGACTTAAAATGGTTCCCGGGAACAAAGTGGAGTAGGGCTGGTTCCTCACCTAACCACCTCAACTTAAGTTCTTTCTCAAGAAACAAACCAAACACACACACACACACACACACACACACACACACACACACACACACACACCCCAAAAAAGCAAAACAAAACAAAAAAGCCTAGCCACTCCTGAGCACAAAACCAGCCCTGACGTGGCTCCTTCCTGTCCCTTGACGAAAACCATTTCTTCACCTCCCGGCAGGAACAAATGATAGTTCATCTGTTAACCCTCATCCGCGTGGTTAGACCCTCATTTATTTATTCATTCTTTTTCAAACATAAGGAAATAAAATAAAATAAGACAAAACAAAAGCTATCACATCCAAGTTAGATGAGACAAACCAACAGAAGGAAATGAGCCCGACATAAGGCACAAGAGTCAGAGACCCACTCGTTTGTACTCTCGGGAATCCCATGAAACACTGAAATGGATAACGTAATATGAATGCAGAAGACATGATGCAGACCCATTCAGGCCCTGCGCATGCTGCCTCAGTCTGTCTCTGAGTTCATGTGAGCTTTGATCATGCTGATGTAGAAGGCTTTGTATTCTTGGTGTCCTCTGCCCCCTCTGACTCTCACATTCATTCTGCTTCCCTTCATCAAGGTTCCCTAAAGTCTGAGAGGAGGGATTTAGTGGAGAAATCCCATTTAGGGTTGAATGTTCCAGAGTCTCTTATTCTCTGCTTCGTGTCTGACTGTGAGTCTCTTTATTTGTTCCATCCGCTGTAATCGCCTCCATTGGTGAACCCTGTTTGTGGCTGGTTCCTCCATATAGTCAGAAATATGAAGACGTGGATTCAGAGCTTGCCAGTTATCATGACCTTCAAATTAAAAAAAAAAAAAACAAACAAACAAAAACAAAAACGGATTCACCCCAAATAGGGTAAAACCCTCAGTCAATAAGCAGCTAAGGCAGGAAGAAGTGGAGACTGGAATCTCAGGTGAAGCTGTGAAAATGGGCTCCACAGCTTCATGAGGACACTCTCCTGGCTACACCCAGTAGAGTATCTGGTTTTATTTCAACAATAGACTCTTTTGGACATCTGAATGGTTCCATTCTAATTGTTGGGCTGGGATCTTAGCTAGGGTTACTATTGCTGTGATGAAACGCCATGACCAAAACAACTTTGGGAGGAAAGGTTTATTTTATTCACAGTTCCAGATAAAAGTCCATCATCTGTCAGGGTCCAGCCCCAACATACATTATCTCTTGGACCAGTGTAGAGGCGTGGGAATAACTGAGGCACAGTTCACACAGCGATATCAGAAAGGAGTCCCAGGGTTCATTCAAATCCCAAAGATCACCAGCATTTATTATCCAAACAGCTTTTATACCAAAAGGTAAACTGAGGGGGAAGTTCATTAGCATTCTGTTTACTGGGTGGTGAAACTTAGGTGAAGTCCACAGCTATGGCTGCTCTGTCACTAGACTGAGCCAACACCTCTTCCCAGGTGATCTCCATAACTATAAAGATGGAGCAGAATGACGGTAGCAACTCCTGACTCTTTGGGATGGCGACTGTTTGTCTGGAAAGGCTGGGTGGCCACCTTCTGTGAGGCCAGGTGCAAACTATGGCCTGAGAGTCTGGCCACCATACAATGTAGAAATATGGCCCTACAATCATCAAAAGAATTGAGGGCAGGAACCTGGAGGCAGGAGCTGATGCAGAGGCCATGGAGGTGTGCTACTTACTGGCTTGTTCCTCGTTGACTTCCTCAGCCTGCTTTCCTATAGAACCCAGAACCACCAGTACAGAGATGGCACCACCCACAATGGGCTGGGCTTTCTCCCATTTACCACTAACTAAGAAATGTCTTATGGAGGCATTTTCTCAGTTGAGGCTCCCTCCCCTGTGATGGCTCTAACTGTGTCAAGTTGACATAAAACTAGCCAGTATAGACCGCAACTGGAAAAACCAAACAGCTTGGCATAATATTAAAACCTAAAAATGCCACTTAATATTAAAGCACAGAATTAGTTTGGGATTCAAATATACCCCAGGAAATATTAAGACTATGAAACAAAGATATACAACTTGGAAGGAAAAGGCAACCTTAGAAGTCATTATGTTTAAAAGACAGCAGGGAAACTAATCAAACTAGAGGAACAGAGACTGCTCAGCAAGGAAAAGCACCTGCTGCCTAGCTGACAACCTGAGTTCCTTCCCTGGAACTGCATGGTAGAAAGACAGAACCAATTCCTGTGGATTATCCTTCAACTTCACACACACACACACACACACACACACACACACACACACACACACACATGCCATCACACATGTTTGTGCCAGCATATGTGCATACATGCACATAAAATGAATAAATGATTTTAACAATATAAAATTAGACACACAGTAGAAGTTGAAACATCCCTACAGTTTGAGATGTTAAAGAACTTGAAGCAACAGATCCCCCAAGTGTCTGTGCATGGGGCATATGGAAGATGAATCTGTTTAGCCCCTATATTTGGAATTAGATGAGAATATGATAGAAAGAAATAACAAAAGAAGGAACGAGTTAGAAAAGCATTTAGGTTCTATTCATCCATCCTGAGACTGGCCATAGAAAGGATAAACAAGAATCCAAACAATTTCATTTCCAACCATGGGGCTCAAAAACAGTGGTTAGAAAATTTGGATATTTATTATGTAATAATGTGGTGAATTGGATAAGAATGGCCCCCATAGGTCCCCATATTTGAATGCTGAGTCGCCAGAGACTGGCACTATTTGAGAAGGATTAGAAGCTGTGACCTTGTTGAAGGAACTTGTCACTGGGGCAGGCCTAGAGGTTTCAAAGCTCATAACTTTCTCAGTCCCCCACCTCCGGGCCTCCAGATGAGGATGTAGCTCTCAGCTATGGCCCCAGTGCCAAAGTGTCACTGAAAGGAAAACCATCAGCTCGGGATCCACCAGGCCCAGTTCTCAGCACAAAGGAGATTTATTTGTCCCAGAGGGACAGAGGGCCAGGATAAGAGACAAAGACAGAAAATAGAGGGCAAGGGAGAAGTGGAAGGGAACAAGGGAAAGGGAGCAGGGGTATCTGTCCCAGAGTGGAACAAAGGAGTGTCTCTGGATAGAGAGGAGACAGATATGCCACTTAAGAAAATGACAGTTTATAAATATACCAGGAAAACCCTGTGTTAGGATGAGGTGTTTCATTTTAATTGGGCATGTTAATTAGGTGAGCCAGGAAAGCTTTGGATTGCTGGACTTCAGTACTTTGATGACTGGACCTTGGTAGTCAGCCTCAGGAGGAAGAAGTACCCAAATAAGAAAGCAGGCCTTGCTGGCTAGTTTTAGGAATGTAATTAGTGGTTTTTAGCAAGGCAGGGAGAATGGGGGAGAAGGGCAAGGCCTGCCAGAGCCATGCTCACCACGTTTGACCTGGACAGAGTACCTTCAGCCACCATGTTCCCTCCACATCCCCACGATAATGATAATGGACTATCCCTCTAAAACTGTAAAACATATCCCCAGTCAAATACTTCCTTTTAAACGGACTGCCTTGCTCATAGCGTGTCTTCACAGCAATATAAGAACTAAGACAAGTAGATGTCATATATCCTTTAGACTCTATAAGCAAAGGGGCGCTTACAAATGAGTGACCAGAAGTCTGTTGTGGATGCTCTAGTGACACAATCGGTTAGCACACAGTATTTATACAACAGTGTGTGCATGAGAGCGATGCCGAGGTTGTGAGTTCGAGCCTCACCTGGAGCATTGTTTTCAAATTTGAGGTACAACCCCACCTCCTCCCTTTCAGGATCTCTTTAACCTGGTTTAGAATCAGCTTGGTTGCTTAGCAATTTTAGAATCCAGCAACAACCAATAATTATGATGGACCTCTGCCTTTTCTACCTTCCTCATGTTCTGACTTAGGGAAGAATATGCGAGGATTATGACAGAGGTTCGGCGTCACTATTTTTTTTCCAGCATAAACAAAAAGTCACATGGTGGAATGGTAAAGTAGAATCTGTTTGTAAGCTTCCTGGAAATCTGGTTTGGCAAAGCAGAAGCACTGGTCTTTCAAAGGAGAGAAGGTTATCTAGTTGCCGCCCAGCCTCTCTGAGCTAGCAGGTTTTCAACCCAGCCTTTGACTCTTGAGTCTTATTTATAAGCAGAATGATAGAGATATAATTAAAGCTATTTTTAGCGTCAGTGGCAGAGCCTGTGATTGCAGGAACAGAATTTCCTTCAGGCTATGGCCTGAGCCACCAGGCCACTGCTAGAGAAGGAGCCGGTAACTGCCAAGTTGGAACTGCTGGCTGGAATAGCAGTAAGTTAAGGCGCAGCCATTGTACGGAAGTTAAAGCAACACCATTGATAAAGAGAAGACGCCAAACTGTGAAGAACAAATCAGAATTATGATGGACATGTGACGCGCTGTGTGTTTCACGAGAGATAAAGTAAACGGAAGAGGTTTCTGCTTCAAAGGCTCATTGTGACTACAATAGAGGAAGTGAAGAATGGGGAGAGAAGATGCCGTTCAGAAACTGATCACATTCACAGTGTGAGGGCTGGGGGATTTCTGATGAGACCATGACTAACCTGAACCAACTTTAAAATACATAGCCCTCTGTGCGCTGCTGGAGGAGCTGTCACAGTCTGTCGCCAATGAACAGACGCTAACTTGCTACCTTAAGTTAACCTGACTTCCCAGCAGAGCAGTATCAAGGTTCCCTGTAACAATTGATTGAGATTGTGATGTTCTGTGTGCTGAATAATGACAATCTCCTTGTGTGCTGCTGTCTGTACCTTGTTAAGCTTCCTGAATCTCAGTTTGAGTTTGTGCTGGAAGCTATAGGCAGTCGAAGATGTAGGTTTTATTACCTGCTGCGTTTGTAAACAAAGTCAAATGCTGCTTTAAGAATTAATTGTAAGCAAACACTGCTTGTATTTTTACATTGAAAATTTTTGATTTAAATATATATTAATACTTTTCTTACTCTCATGTTTTCAATGTACATTTTTGTTAAGTTTTCATTTTCTGTCACATAAATAACAGGGACATTATACAAAAAGAAGGAAAAAGAATTAATTACAAGCTGGGAATGGTGGTGCATGCCTTTAATCCCAGCACTCAGGAGGCAGAGGAAGGTAGGTAGGTAGGATATCTGACTTTGAAGCCAGCCTGATCTATAGAGTTCCAGGACAGTCAGGATGACATAGAGAATGCCTGTCTTGGAAAAAACAAAAATTATCATTATTATTATTATTATGTGAGTAGGCAATGAATGTGATACTTGATATTTTAAGGTAAACTTCCTTGCTTGTATGTGATATACCTGAAAGCTTTTTAAAAGAAATGTACTTTCATAAAAAAAATAATCAGCAAATTATTCCTTGTCAAGTCTCCAAAAGACCAGTGTCTGCCCTGGGAGCCCTTTCCTCATGCTTCATTGTGGAAGAGTTCATATTGAAGGTGAGTTTTTTCCATGTGCCTTGTTCTTAGTCTGAACCTTATGATTTTACCCAGGTCTAACATTGGCAGAACAAAGTTTACCACCACATTATTACCATCTGGAGGACAGCAGCCTGGACTTGTCTACTTTTCTGCCTCTCTAACCTCTGTGTCATTTATAGCCAAAGGGCTAAGGAGAGAAAGGTGGCATATGATTTCCCCTAGAAAACCGTTCCATTTAACCGAACAATTTTTTTTTTGAGAAATAACTCTTTTTGAATTCAACAATCATTCGGGTATGGATGTGTGTAACATAAGGGGCGGGAGGGGTGCATCAGTAGGCTCTAAGAGCATGAAGTCATTTGTTGGTACAAGTAGTGGAAAGAGGAGGGGGCGTCTCCTCCCCTGGTCCTGGGGATGCTGCTCAGAGCCATCACTAAGCTACTCTCGACTTCCTATTTGTCTGGGAAAAGAGCCACCAGGAGTTTTAGAAATGAAAAGAAAGAAAGGTCTTCTGGAAAGGCAGACAGGTGCATTAGCGTGGAATTTGTGTGCAAACTGTGCGTATCACTAGCTGCCTGTCTGAGGTGTCAGTGGAAACAAAACAAGTAGAAAAAAAATGCAAAAAAATAAGGTAAGGTCCCTGGCAGGAGAAAACCATTGACATTTACTTCAGACGTCATTCTTTTCATCAGAATGGACAGAAATTTCTCCATGTGTTTCTCAGATGAGTTCCCTAGGCTGTGTAAAGTCAGAAGACAATGTGGAATAACATTATACAAACAATCGCCCTGTCTCGTAGTAGACCTGGAGGTGTGGAGACTATCCAAATGTTTGTCATACACATACTTTTCTCATGGACCTTATCCTCACCCACGTGGCTTTTTCTATTATGATTGTTATTCAATGACACGATGTTTTATTTCAGAAACTTCCTGAGTGATTGATTGCCTTAGTCGCTGTACTTTTGCTATGAAGATACACCATGACCAAGGTACCTATTAGGAGAGAAAGTTTTAAATAGCTGAGAGCTACATCCTGATCCTCAAGCAGAGACAGAGACTCTACTCTTACACAGACTTTTGAAAACTCAAAGTCCACCCCCAGTGATACACTTCTTTCAACAAGACCACACCTCCTAACCCTTACGAGGCTTCCAAATGTTGCCGCTCCCTGGTGACCAAACATTCAAATATATGAGACTATGGAGGCCATTCTTAATGAAACCACCACAGTGGTGTCAGTTGTAAAGTTGTGGTTTGTCTGAGAAAGATGGCCCAGGGAGAAAGATGACCCAGGGCCTTCCCAACCGCTCCTCCTTTCTCCTCTGTGTGGTCCAGGCTGTCACCATCAGTCCTAGGGCAACCCTGTGGACAAAGTTCAAACCACAGACGTCAACGGCAAGCTCTTTCATGTCTTTAATTCTCTGCTAAGCTCCACCTTGCTTTGCTACAACAGCAAGAGCAGACATGGAGTTGGAGTAAATAGTGGACATTGTTAAACACTACCATTCTGACACATAATTAAATGGCTTTTCCTCTCTCTTGTGGTTCTTTGAAATGTCATCTTTCAGAGTTTGAAGGAGCAGTGGGCCCATGGCACTCCGTATTTACAGACATCACAAGTGCTTCCTCTGACTTCACAACTCCACTTACGTAAACAACTCCTGTCCAGAAATCAGAACAACGCAGACTGTTCTTGCCCGTACGACCGGCTTCTGAAGGGGCGTGGTCGATCGATAATTAACCAGGCCAACTCAATACAAAAAGATTTAGCTTTTAATAAAAGGGAAAAAACATACACAACCAGAGATCCCACAAACACCAGGTGAACAGGGAACCAAAAAGAGGGAGTGGCAAGGCACTTCGATCTTTTATGTGTTTTGTGTGGCCCCAGGGGGACACTCCTTAAACAGAATGTGATTGGCTGAGATTCCCCATCATCTCCCCCTTTGTCTAAACAAGATTGAACTAAACCCAATGCAACTATATACAGTAAGAAAAGATACCAAATATAAAATTACAAACAACAGTATTAAGTAAGAAACATATAACAAAAGTTTTACTAAACATTCTATTTCAAGGAGTCTAAATAATGTAGATGGAAACTACAACTATCTAATCTTCAACTCCATCAAAGATCTGAGAAGGGAAATAGTTTTACTTAAGCAGCCCGGAAGTATAAGCGGGAAACTTCCGAAATGTGCAACAAATGAAAGAGACAACCTGGGCAATCACCCAATGTCTCGTTTGCAATGTTGAGTCAACTAACTTTGGCTAAGGCCTAACCTAACTGACATGCCATTTTCAAAGGCAAGGAACCTTTTAGAACTCTCTTACCCTGTCTTGGCAAGATAAGACCATCCTGCTTTAATCCATTTACGGATATTCTGTAATTCTGTCAGTGGTCGAGGTATGGACTTTTTCTTTGCCCAAAGACCAGTTCTGCCAAGAAGAAGACAAGCTCCAAGTGGAGTGTCTTTGGTGCTCAACGTTCTCCCAGGAGTAGAGTGGTGATGCCAGGAGTGATTGTGTCTCGTTAGCATGAAATTCTAGGTTAAATTAAAGGCTATTTTTCACAGCTCTTTGAAGAGGTTGAAGATTATACTATCTATACTAAATGTAATCTCTATGTATCTAAAGAACCTGACTAGCCTAAATATAAATATGACAAACATATATGACCATTGATTTATAATTCTCGATATTGATCTATCTTGAAGATTAAGAGAATAAACAACTGTGCAATGAACGAGGACAATGACCTCCAAATGTAAACAATGTATATCATCACATAAACAATGTATAAATATCTTAATCAGAGGTAGAAATGTATACTGCAATATGATAAATATATTTATATATATATCAATACAAATAGAGGTAGAAGTATACTTACATACAATAAATAGAGGTAGACGCATACTCACATACAATATTCAATATATCAATGTACAAGAATCAACACCAATACAATTTTCTAAAAACAATAACTCACAAATACCAATATCCCATCACCAATTAATCCCTCTTTTTTTCTACAATAATAATAATAAACACCCCTGAGCCTATAAAATACCTTCCCCATCCCCTCATCCCTATATCAATTATAACCAACCCCTAAATGATGTCCCTAAACCTGAGGGCAAACTCTACTGGGAGAGGAGACATCGTCCTCTAAAATTGCTTCCAGCTGTCATGGGGGCGACGTTTTTCTTAGGGGGTCCTGTGAAAGTAAATGATGGTAAAATTCCAATATTAACATTTGGTGTGAGAAAGTTGTAAATAGTCTCTGAGTGTTTTGAGGAGGTCTGGTCAGAGTGTTGTCAAAAATTGTGCACCATTCGGAACTGTCTTGTGCAGCTGGTACCAAAAAACAGTTCTAAAAGTAGCGCTAGCAACATTATGACGTCATAATAACCAGGTCACAAGTGCTTCCTCTGACTTCACAGCTCCACTTATGTAAACAACTCCTGTCCAGAAATCGGAACAACGCAGACTGTTCTCGCCCGTATAACCGGCTTCCTTCCCTCTTATTGGGTAGATTTCATCCTCTCCTCCTGCATAGGCTCCACCGTGGTGCTTGACTCCATGATGTTAATTGCTTAGGCAGTTCTGACTGTTGTTAGCTGCTCTCTGCCGCTTTATCCTGATCTGCCGAGATGGTCTATTAGGTGCCTGCTGGAGTGCATGTTAAGTGCAGCCAGTGCATTTTCCTTTCACTCTGCCTGAACTAAAGGTATATACACCGCAATTGTTTTTCTCCAGTGATTAAAAAAATAATCAGGATTTTGCTATGTACCTTCGGCTGATCTAGAAGTGGCGATCCTTAACATCTCAAATGCTAGGCACAACTACAGTACATTTTGTCCTAAGGTTCTAATGTATCACAACATTAAAACGAACCTGATTAGATTTACAAAAGCAGGAAAGAAGCCTGTTACTAGGTAATCTAAAACTAATTCAACATTTCCAGGAAGTTCGAAAACAGACTCTATCTTCCCATTCCACCACCGCTATCATGTGATTTTTGTTTGTTTGTTTGTTTGCGCTAGAAAAAAAAAAAAGTGAAGCCCAAGCTGCTACCATAAAATACTGTTGTATTTCTCCCCAGCCAGAGCGTGAAAGCAAAGGAGGAAAGGCAGAGGTCCAATTGCTAAGCAACACAGCAAAGCCAGTATAGGCAGATTCTAAACTAGGTTAAAGAACTTGAGGAGAAGGAGAGTGTTTGGAAGATCCTGCCTCAAACTTGAAAACAATGCTCCAGGTGAGGCTCGAACTCACAACCTCGGCATCGCTCTCGCGCACACACTGCTGTATAAGTACCGCGCGCTAACCGATTGCGCCACTGGAGCATTCGCAAAACACTTCCGGTCACTCGTTATACGTCCTACGTGCAACATTCAACGTTTGCTAGACCACAGTATGGATGCACAGCGGGCATGCATTCACCGTAGCCCTCACCCCGCCCCACCCCGCCGGAGTGGGCTCTTACGGTGGTGCTGTGCAGGCGCCCAGTGTTCAACCACGGATGCCGTGACTGCGACTCTGAAGCCGAGGCGAAAGGATAGTGGAGACTCGGAGAGCTGCACATCTTCCAGTCTTCCCACCAAGCGGCTAGCTAGTACAGCCTTCGCAATCCAATAGGTGGATGCTATCTGCGGGGCTTCAAAGCCATTCCCTGTCCACGTGAAAGAAAACTCCCTAGGAAGACGTGGAGCCCCGGCGGCAAATGGGATCCCCCAAAGCTGCGTTTTTTCTTCTGCTTTGGTTCGGTCAAGCAAAAACTGGAGAAACCAAAGTACTTAATTCCAGAGAGACTAGGACGTTCATGGGGCCTTGCCTTGTGTTGCGCGGTCGCCACACAGTCTGGGAGGGAACAAGAGCTCTGTATTCCTCAGGCAACTGTGAAAGTCCTGAGTTGAAACTAGGGAAAGCGTTCCAGGATTGGGTCTGAAATTCTGCATGTCTCCGTTTAAAATTAAACTAGATATTTGAGAAACACCTGTGTTAAAGATCCCATAATAAAGTATGTTTTGATGAAGAGGGACTAGAGAAAAGGCACTTCTTTTTTTATTATTGATTTTATTGAGCTCTACATTTTTTCCTGCTCCCGCCCCCCCCCCCGTTGTCTCTCCCCTCCCCTTCAATTCTCTCCCAAGGTCCCCATGCTCCCAATTTACTCATGAGATCTTGTCTTTTTCTACTTCTCATGTAGATTAGATCCATGTATGTCTCTCTTAGGGCCCTCATTGTTGTATAGGTTCTCTTGGATTTTGGATTGTAGGCTGCTTTTCTTTGCTTTATGTCTAAAAGTCACTTATGAGTGAGTACATGTGATAATTGTCTTTCTGTGTCTGGGTTATCTGACTCAATATGATGTTGTCTAGCTCTATCCATTTGTCTGCAAATTTCAAGATATTATTTTTTTTCTGCTGTGTAGTACTCCATTGTGTAAATGTACCACATTTTTCTTATCCATTCTTCGATCAAGGGGCATTTAAGCTGTCTCCAGGTTCTGGCTATGACAAACAAAGCTGCTATGAACATAGCTGAGCACATGTCCTTGTGGCACGACTGAGCATCCTTTGGATTTATACCCAAAAGTGGTAATACTGGGTCTTGAGGAAGCTTTTTTCCCAAATTTCTGAGAAATCACCATACTGATTGATATCCAAAGGGTTTGTACCAGCTTGCACTCCCACCAGCAATGCAGAAGTGTTCCCTTTACCCCACAACCTCTCCAGCATAAGTTGTCATCAGTGTTTTTGATCTTGGCCATTCTTACAGGTGTAAGATGGAATCTCAGAGTTGTCTTGATTTGCATCTCTCTAATGACTAAGGATGTTGAATATTTCTTTAAGTGTCTTTCAGCCATTTTAGATTCCTCTGTTGAGAGATTTCTGTTTAGGTCTGCACTCCACTTTTTTATTAGATTAT